TTTGTTGAATAGATCATGCTTGATGTGTGCATTCGAACGCATTTCACTCGGTTTTCTTTTCGTTTTTCATCGTTTTTACATTTGGGCTTTATTGTGTTATGCGCTTATGCTTATGCCATATTTCGAGTCTGAATTTCGAGTCGTTTTGTTGCGTTCATTTGTAAAATCAATTCTTAAAATTCGTATATCTGGCTTTATTTAGGTTGCCTCATTCATTCATTCAGATCAATGAGTGTTTCTTCGAACAAACCAAGTCGTCTCGCTTTCCTTTTCTTATAATAGGGAAGTATTGTTTGAGAAAATGCAATTGAAAAACAGTGCTTCATTTTGAGAAAAAATTTTTTTTCAAATCATAATACTTTTAGATGCACATAAGTTAGTATAGAAACGTTTTTAAGTGCATGCAAATAAGTGTATGCAAAATACGCATTAGTCGTTTAATGGAAATGGTTGATGTTCACACTTTATGGAGTGTTTTGAAGGGATGTTTTTGAAAATAATAAGTTGAACGAATGTACAGTAAGTGAATATGATTGAAAAACAACGATGCAAATAAGGGAAAGAATTGGCTGAGAAATCGGAAAAGGAAATGAGAACAAAGGTGGAACAAATGAGACAAAATGATTAGATTTTAAAATGAATTGAAAGAAAAATGGATTGAAGTGAATGAAAGTGCTGATTGATGTTCATTTGTAGCGTTTTGATGGCATTATTCATGAATAGTTAATTCGATCGACTCTCATTGCATTATTGCATTTGCGTACTTTTGATATAATCGAATTGAGGAAATGCGTCGAATTGTTTTTGTTGCAGTTTCGACGTTGGGAAAATGTTCAATTTCATGTTTATAGTGATGGATGGATGGATGGATTTTGTTTCTTTTTTGTGTTGTGCTGTGCAACTTTATGGGCAGTATAAATGTTTTATAAACGTTAACATCCATCGAGGATTGACATTGGCAAATGAAATGTTTTAGTTTACGTATATGATTGAATATCTGTTCGGAATTTATTTCGTACTCGTAAGAGAGTCAGTCATCAGTCGTCAGTCAGTTAGTCGCCCAAGAGAATCGCTAAAATATTTCAATATCAACTGGTATTGATTAGTAATTAGTAATGATTAGTAATACAATTATTGATGATCAGTAAAAAAGTAATCAATTAGTAAATTTGTATGGACTCATAAATCTCTCATATCAAACGTGTGCTGAACGTTTGTATTTGTATTTTATGTATTCAAATAGACTAGAATATTTGATGCGTAATGCAGTTGATAACAGACTTTGATCATGTGATATTCGGTTTTAAAAATTTTTAAAATATTGAGAGATAACGATTTTTTGTTGTGAATAAATGAGCAGTTAGTTGTGATTGCATATAAGGTGAATGCTTGAATGAGAATCGATGCAATGGAGGAGTGGTGACTCGGATACGAGGAAACCAATAATTGTTCACAAGTGATTGGCGATACTTGAATACCGTATTGTGTGCGTTCAGTAATTGTGTATGGATTCGGAGATCAGTTGATTTGGGGACAAGAATACTTACACTTATGTGTTTACATATGAAAGTGAATGGTTTATAGTCTTGATAAGTTTAGTCACTGTGATTGATATGATAATAACACTGTTTGTAATGATATTGATGTTGTGAGGCTGAGCCAGGCTAGGATTCGGCTTGTATCTATTATGTATTATTATTCGTTTACCGTTTGTGGTGTTTTTGTAATGCGCTTGGATATATCGTTGACGTGTTTTTGAAGACTCGATGATGTAAGCGATTGAAAAGTGTGATTTTGTTTTAATGATCAAAGTTTAAAGGTAATCCAACGCGATAAATGGAGCAATCGAATTCGTTGCTCCTCAATGAAGATGCACTGAAACAGTGCGCAGATCCAAAGAAACCAGTTTTTATTTATGAATGGTTACGATATTTGGATACAATATTACCAGTTACACAAAAGGTTACGTTTTGTGGTTTTTATTTACCAGTCACATATTTAGACCAAATATCAATTTTTTGTTTGGATTTTGGATTGTTGCTGAGATTTTAAGATGCGTTTATTAATTAGATGATTAGTTGATTTAAATCTGGTGGTTCTATGAAGGAAGCTAGCCACAGTAATGGCTAGAAATTTGCAATAGCCTCGAGATTCGAAGAATAAGTGAAGAGGAGTGAGGAATGCGTTAGGAACCCTGCATACAGGCCAAGAATTAATGATATCCACCTGTGTCCACCTAGTCAAATATACACACGATTGCAATTGATAGAAGAAAATCCAAAATGATTGTCGTGTTGAGAAATTCGACAAAGAAACGAGAATCAGTGTGATTTTAGTGAAGGCAACGCTTTTTAACTGATGAATTTTATTTTGGCAACATTGAAATTTGTGAGACGATGAATTGGTTGACTGAGAGAGGATAATGGTTTGGGATTATATCCGAAATTAATCTCTTGACTGTGATAAAATTTCAGGCCGACATAAAAAGTGTTCAAAAACAATTGGTTGACCAGTTAATATCACGTATTCTAACCGGGCCTGGTCCACCAACTAGGGTTCTTCTTGCGAAATGTATTGCTCAGGTTGGTAGTGATTGAATGAAATTACAAATATTACAAATATCAAATGGAGTATCACGAATATACGGAAGTATCAAATAACAAATATGAAATTACAGATATAATCAAGTATCAAATTACAAAATATTTATCAAATAAATGTTTTTGTTTTCGAAATGAAAATAAGCATTGAAATTATAATATTTGAAATTTTGCTCTGATTTTACGAATTAAGTTTTGAGGTTGTTTGCTTGATTTCAGATTTATTCGATTGGTGACACGTATAATTTGTTTGAGACGATAAACTTTTGCAATGATGTATTGAAAGGACGCGACGATTCACCGAGTCAACTTCCTGTCAAATTGTAAATTTATCGTCGATTAATCACAAATCGTTTTTGTGAAAACGATTGTCAAAAAGCTTCAATTCAAGTCAAAAAGCTCAAAAACCATCAAACTAGATATTAAAAAATCTAAAGAGAGTGAAAAATCCATTCACAATGACCATTCACTATAATATCAGAGTTTCTTTATCGCTCAGTAGAGCGCAATCAATAATATTGCATTGCATAATGCTGTAAAAGTCTGAGAGACCTGGGAAAATTACGAATAAGTGATGATATGAAAGCTATGGAAAATTTCTCAAGCAAATGAAAAATCTCAGGAAAAATCATCAAAAACTGTGAATTCATTAAAAATGAGCAAACATTTAATAAGTGTTCACCAAATAATTATTCCATTCAAAGTTTTCAAGCATTCGAAAGTTTGTAGGATTTAATAAATTTGCAAAATTCCATCGTTTCGGCAAGAAATAAACCAAAAGAGAGCAGCCCCCTATCAAATAATCTCGAAAATGATCGTTTAGTTGGAAGAAATTGGGCACTGAAATTACGAATTCGAATATTAGAAC